TGGCCTTCTTCATGAAGCTGAACATGCTGCTGAGCATCGAGTGTCGGTCGACCTGCTGCGCATCGGCCTCACTGATGGCTTCTGTCTTGGCCTGGTCGGGCAGCTCGCCCCAATTCCAATTGGTGGCGTTCGTCTCGTCGCCGCATTGGCGCTGGTCCCGCGCCCGCATCGTTGTCTCCAGCTCGCTGTCGCTCTGGATGGGGCTGGAGGGACGGTTGGCACCGCCGCCCGATGGCGAAGTGATCTCAGTGTCGCTGAAGAAGTGAATGTCCAGGTCAAGATGCTGCTTCAGCGCTGGGATTGGGGTGGTGTGCAACAGCTCAATCTTCGCGCTGTCGTCCCCGGTGTGAGCCGTGAGCAATGGGGCCGAGGGCAGCTCGTCGTTTGAGGATGAGTTGGCAGAGTTGTTGGCGGCGATGGAACTAGCTGGGGCATCGCCTTCATCAATGTTTGCCACTGTGGCCACGCCCGCGGTGGTGGTGGTGGTGGTGTTGATGTCGCCGCCGGCAGCGCTACCCACAGAGCTGCTCGAGGAATTCTTGCGCTGTGCGTTCTTCTTCATCTGCGTCTTCTTGCGCCGCTTCTTGGTCTTGCTCTTGGACACATCCTTGGCGGCGTCCTTGGGATCCTTGGCGACCTCGCTGGGCGCCACCGATGAGACGGTAACATCGGGCTGGGGCTGCTCCTTCTCCACTTCCTTCACCGCCTCGGGCTCCGCTTCGGCTGGCCTCTTCTCGCTCTTCTCCTGGAAGAGCTCCTCGTGCTCCGCCCACTCCTGACGAATCTTCTGTGTGGTGTACTCCTTGATCTTCTCGCTCAGATTGCGCCTCTCCAGTGTGTTGTCCGTGTGCCTGTTCGGGATTAAAAATAGTCCAAATTGATTATCCTGGCCTGCTCGGGAAAGCCCTTGTCTGAGAAGCCCTTGTCTACCTGCGCATCGTGTAGTCCGAGGCCTGATTCTCGAAATGTTTGCCATCTGCGGCCGCTTCCTTGGGCTCCTCCTTGGAGAAGTCGATGGAGTTGCGTCGCGGCAGGGGCAGGGGAATCTGCAGCTCCTCACTAGCGTTTCTAAAATGAGATGGCAAATGAGTCTAGCGCTGGCGTGAATCTGCTTTGGGCTTTTGGGCTCCACTTACTTGTCGGCTGTCACACCGCTGATGTCCTCCATGGTGTCGTTGCCATGCTCCCGCAGATTCATGAAGCTCAATGGTATGGGCGATGTGGCCAGATTCGCTGGCAGCTCATCATCGTCATCCTCAAGGCACTCCTCCACAAAGAAGGCCTCGCCCGCGTCGCCCAGCTTCATCTGAATGTCCACGGGTGCGCCATTGATCTCGATATCCACCTGTGGAAAGTCCATCATCGATTATTGATGGTGGCAGGGTGGCAATTTCGGGTTGAGGATCTACTTACCACCTTCTCGCGACTACGCAGCACTCCCAGCTTGCCGAAGCGCACATGGAAGGGCGAGCACTGGAACTCGCCGTCCTTCTGCTCCACCACGATCACATCGATGGCCCCCGTCAAGGTGGCTCCATTGATGTCGTTGTAGAAGTCCCGGAAGTTGCTAAAGACGCGCGCCAGGCTGTTCATCTTTGGTCTGAATGGACTTCCGTTCCTTTTGGGGCTGATGATTATTCTTGCTCCTTCTCTGTCCTCTCTTGTGGTTGGCCTTGTTCCAATCTTCTTGTCTAATCGCAATCGCACCTATATATGGCGAAGACTGTGTATTGCTGCTGTTTGTGTGTGTTCCCTGTAGTTTTTTATATGGCGGCCATTTTTATTGGCAGGCGGTCAAATACGCCGCTTATTGGCGACGGAACCAGCTCCGGGTTTGTTCTGCCCGGCACTTTGGACCCTCGCGCTGAATTATGGCAACTGTAAAAGGTAATGCAAAATTAAAAATATGAGTATGAGTAATCAGCATCGCTTATTGCCGACATTTATTCTTCCCCCGGTTGGCAACGCATTCAAAATAGACAAATTGCATCAGAGTGCAAGTGCAGGCCATCCTTTGGCGGCTTTGAAGCCGTAACAATGCCCACCAAAACAGACAAACATTTGCATTTAATTATTTTTAGCTTTTTTTTTTGCTCTTGCTTTTTTCGTTGAGTGCGCTCAAAGTCAAGGTGTGTGTTTGAATGGCGGATAGGCGGCAGAGATGCAAAAGGCTCACACATCCCACGACATGTTGCCCGCCCCCACCATTCTCATCTAAAGGGGTGGTATGCGTGAGGTGGGGAGGAACACAGCCTTTGTTTAATCATGTATTGCGACAAGTTCAAGGTAGGACCCCGCGACGACTATCTGCTACAGTTATGCCATCTGTGGCAAAACTATTTATGAGTATTTATGAGTTTTCATTCCCATCGAATTGGTGTTGTAAAAGCCCCTCTTATCAGCTGTGGTCGCCCATTCGCGTATGTATGTATGTACTCCAGTGGCGTGATAAAACATGAAGTAAATATACATTTAGCAGAATGTATTCCTGCGTGTGTATTAATCATAGCACAGCAGGGAAAACATCACGCGACTTCCACATCGAATAAATGAATCTACATTCACAGAAAAAAAAGAAGCAAAAAGCAATAAACACAAAAATAGCGAGACACTCAAGCACGGAATGGAGTTCAATGTCCATCAAGCGAACCCATCATTAAAACAATGGTTGTACACTTTTCTGTACTTGCCAGCCAGCCAACAACCTGGCAAAGATTAATGCCTAATCAGAATGATAAGCAAAGCAATGCAAGTGCCAAAATTTGTACTTCTCATACTATAATCGATTGTATTGTAAGCTGTGCTCCCGAAACGAGACACTGGGAGAGCAGACATCACATCACAGCATAGCAGATCACGCCATCTGTCACGCGTTGTGGGCCGGCGGCCCTGCCTCACTTTCACCTGCGTAGAGCAATCAAAACAAAGTTCGATGGCTATGGAAACCCAAGAAAAAGGCACCAGTCGCAGAGGGGGGGGGGAGAGAGAGGGAATTGGGGCTTGAAAAGAAGTGCCGGGAGTTGCAGACAAAGGCAAATGCAAGCGGGAATTCGTTATGTTATCCATTCCACTCACAGCACAGAAAAGACAAAGGAGTCGCATTTCGACAGAGCTCCGACTCTGACTCAATTGCAGAAGATAAAGAAGTTCCAAGTGCAATGCAACTTTGCAATGTGCAGTGAGAGATTTTTGCAAAAATTTAAAAGCTTGTCTGGTTTTTGTTTTCTTTTTTCTGTTTAAAACTGATCAAATGGCGTTGCCAGCGGTAATCACATGCCCAGAGTTCAGTGTTTATTTGAGTTCTATTATTTGTAGGGGTCTGGTCTGGGGTTCTGTTGAGTCACGATCAAAGTCCAGAAAACACTCGGAAGAATCAGAATGCACAACGAAAGAGACGCGCGCGCGGGCAAACAAAAACAAACGTGGGTCCCAAAGTCTACATAAATATAGGTGCTTGCCAAGAATTCTGTGGCGGTCCCGAATGCAGACGTATGTATGTTCTCGAAATCATCTCTAGTATAATGGAAAATTTATTTCACTTATTTGCTATGTCATTTGCATTTTCAATACCTTGGCTGCGGTGTGTTTGAAAATACGTATTTTATTATGGTTTCAATTCAGTTTTCAACAGCGCAGCAGAGTGTGCTGTGCCGTATTGTTTTGTTTTGTGCCCTTGAAAACACTAGCGAGAAACTATCAAAGTCTCACTCTATTTCCTCCAGCACTTTGACTATTTTTCGTTCACTTGACTGGCAATACACGTATGTTTCTTGTAATTTCACAATGTTTTTAGTGGTATTCTCCACTGCGTGCTGCTGCTCGTTTTCAGTTGTAGATTTTTAGTTTGTTGCTCCGACGACTGCTGGGGCAGAACTGAGCGACAGCAAAGTTCAGTTAATCGAATTAAGCACCTGCTTGTGCATGTGTGCGTGTATAGCGAGAGAGCAAGAGAGGGACAGACCAGATAGAGAGCGAAATGCTTGTTATTTAAGAGCAAAAGCTCGGCAAAACGAAAACAGGTAAAACCGGAAAGTCATGTAACTTGCAGTTGTTGGTTGCTATGGCTATGTACCGATATACAAAATACATATATTATATACAGCAGCTGCTTTATTCACTCTTTCTCTCTGGCTGCGAGCGATTTAATAACTGTGCTTATCAGCTGCTCGCTGCGATCGTCGCAGCTGTTCCTGCTCACGATGTGTTGTTGCTGCTATTGTTGCAAGCGAGAGAGCTTTTACTGCATATTCTTGTAATGCACTCGTAAACAAATTAAATCGTGTCGTTTGTCGGGTGATTTGTCCATGTATGTACGTCACTTCCAGTTGTTTACCCCACCATTGCTTTGATCTCCGATTATACAGGAAATGTTCCACTTATACGTATTATACAAACTTTGAGCAATAGAATTCGACTACTAATGAGTGCCGCCTGAATTGGCCCATGGTCAAAGCATGTATTGTATAAAAGAAAAGAGGAACCATTCGTCACCATTTCGAACTGTGGAATATTTTCACAGAGTGTCTGTCTGTCTGTCTCTACAAATTGCTGATGAGTGCCAATAAGTCGCATAGGCCAATGCTTGTATTTACGAACACAAAATATAATTTTAAGATTCTTTGACAAATAAACAAGCCCAAAAAACAATAATAGTACTATAAAAACTGAAAAAAAAACTAATAATAAAGAATAAAGCCAAGAGGAGGAAGGTGATTCATAATTTAAATAATTTAAATTTATTCATAAAACAATTAAATGATAAATCTACTGAATATATATAGTAATTAAACGCATGAAAAATATTTACATACATGTAAAAAGTTGTACAAAAATATACGAATATACTCTAGATTACTCCATCCATCCTTTTTTCGTTCTTCTCTTCTACATAATAAATACTTTAACTTTATCGTGATACAAATACAAAATAATTGGCAAAGGCAGACGACACATGCAGGCTATATGGATACGATGTGGTAGAGTACTGTATACAGTAAATATGTATGCAACTAACTTTAATCAAAACACATATTAATGATAGCAATATTTGAGAATAAGAATAACAGAAAAGGCTCTTCTGCTTAGGCTTGTGGCTTAGCTCTTAGTTTCTCTAATGGTTTCTGTATTGTTTTTTTTTATTGGTTCCCAAACAAGTCAATAGTTCCCACATCCCAACCTTCGGGTCCCTACTTGGGGCTGGTCGTGGACTTGCGGCGGGCATCCGTTATAGCACCCCAGAGTTCGATAATGAAGTCGTCGGTGAAGCCAAAGGACTCGAGGTCCGAGTTGTCAATGGACTCGGCAAAGTCCATCGAGTTGGACTTGTTGTCTCCCAAATCCCAGATCTGCGACGCCAGCTCCGTGTCGTTGATGCCCATAAAGGACTCGAGCAGATTATTGATGGCATCGATCCCGGCCACCGTGGCCTCATCGAACTTCGGCTCGATCTGTGCATTTCCATTGGCCTTGAAGCGTAGCGTCTCCTTGCCACTGCCGTAGTTGCGTCCACCGCCAGCGCTGCCCGCGGCGCGTGACTGACTGCGCGGCCCTATGCCTTGGAAACCGCTCCGCACGGGCTCCACCAGGCGCAGTGTGAAGGTATCGCCCGTAGGAATGTCCTTGAGCATGCGGGCCACCTCGTAGTGCCGCTTGCCCACCATATTCTGGCCATCCAGCTTCTCGATGTGATCGCCCACGCAGATGTGCTCGATGCGGTCGATGATCGAGTCCTCCTTGATGCGCTTGATGAAGGCGTAGCCGGCCCCATTGTCGGTGATGGTCAGTCCGAGGGCCTCCTGCGACTTGACTATCTCGATCTCCTTGGGCCGGCCCTTGCGGTGGGCGAATATGAAATCATCCAGCCCGATCTGCCCGCCCAACAACCGGGCCATGTCCACCTTGTGCGAGTTGAGCGTGCAGAACAGGATGTCCTTCTCCGAGATGTCGAAGCACTCGGCGATCTTCTGGTACAGCTCTCGCACGCTCGAGAAGTCATGGATGAGGCCCGTGGGGCTGCCGTGGGCCAGCTGACAGTGGAACACCAGTGGGGGCTTCGTGTAGTCGGCGCTGTTGCTGTTGTTGTTGTTATTGTTATTGTTGTTCTGGATGTTGGCGGGTACGCCAGAGGCACGCCCCTTGCCCCCATCACTATTGTTGCTGATCTGTGAGGTATTATCTGCTGCAGATCCGGGCTTGGAGGTTTTCCTCGTGAAGAGCGGCATAGCTGGTGGTGTCCTCTGGTCCTGGTTTCTCAGAAATTTGTCCGATTGTATGGTATATTACGATCCTTTGGCATGTATCCTCGTATCCTGTTACCTTGCTCTTGGATCTGTGTGCGTAGAAGAAGGTGTGGGATCTCTTGGGATTAGGCGTTTCAATGCTCGATTCAATGTGGTAGTAGATGTTCTATACTGATGTGAGTAGGTGTGGCAGTTACGGGTTAGTCAACGTTTATACAAAGTGAACACTGTACAGTGAAGTACCCATAACCATAACATAGCCAAATATATGTATGTATGTACATTTGTTGGTGTTTATCTAATCGGTTTACTCAAAAGTCGTAAATTTCCAACAGGAAACGTGCCTTATACGTTACACTACGAGGGATGACTCAGATCGTTCCATAAGGTCTAAATATCTGATTGATTATTGATATATTAAGTTGATAATTGGGGACTATGATTACTCTGCTTATCGCTTGTTTAAAAAATATTAAATTAGTCACACGAAAAGTGATTACACATTGAGGTTATGTTGTGCACGAGAGGCAGTGCTCCTAAATTAACAGCTGCTGCGCGCGCTCTCTCTCTCTCTCTGTCTCTCTCTCTCGAATTAGGCACAAACTTTAACGGTAATTAATCACTGGAATTATGAGACAAATTTGGAATATTACCCAGTCTGGAACACGCACCAGCAGCAGCAGCAAGCAAATCGAATTCAACGGCGGAAAGTCACATTGGAATTGAACAAATTTCTATCACTATCACACAAAGTATTTGAGTACTTTTTGTTTGTTTTGTTTTTGCTTTGTAGCGATAAGATTGACGAAATGCCTGATAAGAGAACGGCAAAGATAAGAGATATATTGTATGTATGTGACGGACTCTTTATCTGCCTGCAAAACGTCCGCCCGTAGTAGTTCGTCAATGTGTACTGAACCTGCAGTTACTCGTAAATGCCAGGCCATCAGCTTGAAGCGACCATCATCACTCAATCGTTGGCATTCAGCTGTGTGCAGCACACACTCCACTCACACACACTATCTCTCTCTGTCTCTATTTGCCCCCTTACCACTTCCGCTTAATAGGAAAGAAATGTCTGTCTGTCGCGCCCTCATCGAGGAGGGGAGTTCATGAACCTTCCGCCCTCTGGATGCCTCTCCACTTGTACTAATGTACGTACACGCTTCTGTCGTCTGTGGATATGATCCAGATCCAGATCCAGGTCCAGGGTCCAGGTCCAGGATAAATACAGTTACAATACAATAAACTGATAATTTTGATAAACCAAAGAAATTCTCAAAACAAATATAGGCCCAGTGATGTGTAAATGATAGTGAAAGGCATTCTTTGATTTGCTTTCAGATAGGGAGAGTGCTCTGTAGTACATACACGGCTTTAAAGAAGGCATCTTCATTGCTTAATTAATCTAAATAAATGTGTAGAACATTGATCCAGCAGAGCTGCTCTTTTGCCTGCTTGATCTGTCCCATCTAAGGAAAAACAACTTGAGACGAGCCCCTTAATTGATAGATATGTATGTATGTATTCCCATAGTCAAATACAAACGTACACACATATACGAGTTTGTTTTCGTATGTTTGTGTGGAGGAGAGTTGTTTCCACCATGTAATATATGTATTTTATTCATGAGCAAAACAACTATTTCTAGCTGCGAGCCGAGTGGATGGATAGATAACCCACCGCCGGCATCAAGGTCGAAATAGTTGAGAGCGCGTGAGTCGCTCGCGCCTTAGCCGATCTGATTCTGAATGGTTCGGTGCAAAGAATACATAGAAATACTCGTAGTTTCAGCTTCATATTCATGGTATACTCGTACCGTTGAAACGATTTACGCAGTGCCATAAAGCCTAGAAACTTATGCGGAAGTGGGCAGGGGAGGGCCGGCAAGGCAGGCCCCCTTCGAAGAGCAAAAACCGGTGTGGTGCGATCAATGGCCTCTCCTCTCAAGATTAGCGGCAAAAAAGTTTATGCGAATTTCAACAAATTTTTAAACACAAAAAGCCATCGATAACGAGCTACAAAAAATATATACCAGTATGTACATACATATGTATGGCCAGAGGTATCATAAATTATGCGACGCAGGGTCATTAGTGGGAAGGGAAATTCCACATTGCGAGGATCGATTGATCTCTCCTCAAATGCTGTTTAACCGATCAATACCCCCGTTAGATAGTTTTCTCTCTGGCGATTTCATAATTGTGGGTTAATTGCTTTGCTTTGAATAAAGCGTAAACAACTAAATACGCTTCCGCATCGCCAGCTGTTTGCCCGTTCCCCCTGCCGAATACGAGTATCTGTATCTGTTGTTCTATTCCAACTTGTTTACCCGCCTCTGATTGGTCGCCGCCGTGGGCTCGACGCTCCCCCCGAGTGTTGTGGATACATAGAAGATCTGTAATTCGCTGTAAACAATAACAAATGAACTTTTTTCAGGCTACAGAAGAACGTGCGCTTAAAAATAACAACAGGCACCGAACTGGTAGCAGAGCAAAGTGTAAACATCAGAATTATGTAGATACTACGTGTGGCAAAAGCGCTCGTGGGGCACTCTTATCTATAGTGAATGATCATTTCAATTCTGTTTTGTATTTTTCATTCAAAGCTGTTGTAATTTATGGATTAATTAAAAGTCGCTGAGTGGGTTCTGTACACTATAGTTTTGTTTCTTTCTTAATGAACTTTCACGAAAACAAAGCCATAAAAACATTTATACAATCGAAAAGGCGACTTGTGTGGGGGAATTGGATAGCGATAGAGAGGTTCAGCAATGTGTTTACAATTTACAATTCCAAGGGATGGGAATTGTTTTTTGATGCTGCTGTCGTATAGCGGGGCTGATATCTGATATCAACGGAACCCCAGAACCAGGAATCAATTACTTATTGAAATAAACAGCTTTAAGTTCAAGGGCATCTGCATAAAAAGAAACTAAATGGCTTTACCTTTAACCTTGAATAGCCATTATTTCTTAGCTGTATATTGATTAAACTACGACTGGGTTATAAACCTATAAGCATATTGGAGTAAACCAGGTAAACATTGTTGGGTTATCTTCAAAAGAATGTTTACTCGTTATAATCTAATCATAGGGTTGCCGCAAGCAAAATTAAATGTCGATCCCGAATTTCAAACAGAGCTCTGAAAATGCTGGCGAATATTTTGCGCTGGGGAATAATGGGGAATATGCTGAAAATAATGATTATTTCATTGACGGAATGCAATATCGTTGCATTTCCGGAACCCACAAAGAAAAATTCTGTTGTATCTTCTACATTTAAAATATTCATACAAAGTACATAAGAATGTACATATATTTGTACTTATGTATGTATAATATATTATATTCATTCATCCCCAAAAAAGTGTGGGTCTATATTTTGAGAGCCTTGGAAACCCAAAGGTTGGATATTTCTTTTTAAATGTTTATCGTATCAACAAACTTTTAGCATTCAATGCCAAATAGCAATTAAGAGAGCACAAACCAAAGAGAAAAAAGCTTTACAATTTAAGAGAGCTCTCTTTTAGCAAATAGAAAATTGAATAAAAGCTACACATATGAAAAGCTTCGCAAGAGAGCTCCGAGAAAGATAGCATGGTATAAGAGGGGCAAGAGGGTGAGGGAGTGTGTCGCTGGGGATCGAGCATTTCGTTGACTAGGTCAATTTTTGCGACTCCACAAAATTCGCCGGCAACGGTGCTGCAGGGAAGGGGCAGCGGAAGGCAGAGATCCAGCGGACTTATGATCTTTGGCAACGGTGAAATTTAATTCCAAAAGTCAACATTTTGTTGGCAAAGCAGAAAATTGAGCTGATGCAAAATGAGGGGTAATATTGGGGCTTCGGGGACAAACAAATTTATACGTATGTGTGTGCTAGTTTTAGTGGAGGATACTATATGTATATATGTATGTATTTGTATATGTAAAGTGAAAGTTGGAGTTCGATGTAACAACATTGGGATATCATTACGGGAGAAGTCTGGCTAAGAGAGCCTTTACTGTACCGGAGTAAAGAAATCTTAATTTCCACAGATGACTCAGATTATACGAGACGGATAATGGTACGAGTAAACACAATCAGAAGGGTAATAATTTTACTGTACCCCATATAATCGCATCTTAATAATTTTCAAACACTATTGTTTGACGTAGAGGAACCAAAAAAAACCTATAATTTATTCACCGTTTTTTTTATTTTAGCATTTACAGACACGACTTACACAATTTTGTTTAGTTTTTGTTTGTAACTACTCAAGTATACATATATTTCAGTGCATTATTCATACTTTGCTGACATTTTACCTTCGCTATGACCGCTTATTGGGGTTTGCCCTTTTCCCTACCCAAAAAAAAACGTAAAAACTAAACCCAATGTCGATAGTGGTGATGCCGTGATCCAGTGCACTGAACTCGGCTCAGGTTCATTTGCATTGCAGCCCTACCAGCCATACAGCGCTGTGCCTGTGCCTGTGCTGACGTATCGAATCACCCTTTATGTGGAGCAGAGCACCAGCACTAGGGCCTAGAGAGCATAACAAACGCCAGAGGGGCGGTGTGCGGAGGCGGTGGAACACCGAAATAACAATGAACACATGCAGAGACCACACAACACACACACACAGAGATAGAAAATACTGGAGCAGTTTTGAAAAAATTTAACCGTTTCACCTCGCTGAACCCCGGGCACGAATGAGCAAATTAAGCAAACGAATTATAGCCCCAAAACAAAAAAAGATCCGTAGCCAAGACTGTTTTGGGTCAAAATTACCAAACACGCAGCAGCGCCTTTCAACCTTAATGTCTTGGCAAAATTCCTTTAAAAGAAATAAGAAAAGGCGTAGCAATTTAATTCAGTGAAGAGATGAGCAAATTAAAAGGTTTTATAATTGAATTCAACGGAGATTCATTCAAGTTCTTTTCAAGTACGAGTAGTGCATGATCCCCTACTTATAGGAAAAACGTAATTGCAGTGATATTACACATATGAATGCGCAGAAGAAACGTAAAGAGCGGGCCATAAAAAGCACAGTTAAACTGATTACGAACATGACATGACAATGCCAGCGCCTGAGCACTGAACAGTCGGGCAGTTGGCATGGCAACCCCCGGCCTGGCTCCGCTCCGACTCTCAATCCAACAATGAAGCCGATTCTTGGCGCTGCGCTGCCGCTTTTCATAAAATACGCCGAGTATTGAAATGTCACGCAAGCAATTTACATAAATGGAGTAGCTTCCGCTTGGAGAGCGGAGAGAATCAGCAACAACAATGGGACAGCCATCGATGCACCAGGGGAAGAGAGTATCAGAGAGCCTATGCGATGTGCACGTACGAAAACAACTGTTACGAGGAATGGAACGGCAAAAGGTAACCCAGGCGGAAGACAGAGAGAGACAGAAAGAAACACAAGGAAGAAGACGGAGAGGACTTTGGTAGAGAGAGGATTTAAAGGGTATTACAATCATCTCTCTTTGTGGGTAATCGATCAAGACAATTTCCGAGTTCCTCTCACAAACCTAACGGTTACTCTCTCTCTCTCGTTCCTCTGCCAAAACTGTTAAGCCACAAAACCCTGCTTTGCATTTGCATTTCTTTTCGTTTGGAGCACACTGACCAACTTCACGGTTTGTTAACAATTTAATGTGCCTACAAATTGCCCAAGTCTTGAGTTTCTTTGGTCATGCTTGGATCTTTCGTCGCCCCCACTCTCCCACAAAGAACCTGAGAATTTCTCTGTGCGTAGAGGCACGTGCTCTTGTCCAAGACAGCACCGATGGATGGGCCAGGCCAGGCCAGACAGAATTCATTGGGAGTTAGACAGCAGGCACACAACAATGAAAAGTTGTAATAATTACTATTTGGATGTGCGTGCTGGCTGCGAAAATGAAATGCCCAGCAGCATTTGTGTGAAATATTTTTCTTTTTATATTCGTTATTATTTTATGGCCGTCCATACCATCACGGTCTCGCTGCGCAAGCAGTATTTTGTAATTTTACTTTTCCTTCATTTCGATGTTGGAAAATCAATTTGGCCGTGAAATTGGTGAGCAGCAGAAGAAAAACGTGCTTTTACACCCCAACAAAAGGGAATTTTTGGTGCGACGACGCAGTTGTCGTAGACAGCCGGCACCCCGAAAAGACCAAGAGACCCCAACCTCAATCTGCAACATAAACAAGAATATGCATAGACTTGAGGCAGGGAATGGCCAAAACATTGTTTTGGCTGCATGTCTGTTACATAGGAATAAACTATGGCGTGTTTTTTCGGGGGTTGGTTGGTTGGTCTGATGGATGAAATCATTTCCGCTGTCCACGAGGTTCTCCTAGTGGAGAGTATGACATGACATAAGTGGGGTGTGGTTTTTTACCCATAGGCGGTGGAAAAACACTTGTCCATCAGCGACTAAAGTTAATAATTAACTGGCAAACGTGACACGCCCTGGACGGGGAGAGCTGTGGTACTGTAGCAGCTGTCAAAAATCGATAAACTAGTGAAATTGCAACGATTTCCAGAGGTTCCATTGCAGAACGGAATTACATGTTAAATGTGCTCTGCGGCGGTGGGTGGTGAAGGGGGAGTAGGGGGAAATCACATGACTAATATTTACACAAAAGATGGGAAAATGTATGCCCAGCCAGCACCAAGCACCTTTCACTTTATTTGTTTGCTGCTAAAAATTATATGTTAGGCAAATGAATGAATGCCAAAGATGCTGCTGCTGCCACAAAGGAAAATAGTAAAATAGAAACCAATTTGTATGTATAAGCAGACACCACCACGCACCAGCACCAGGCAGATATGGAGACAAGAGACAGAGACAGCCAAGACCAGATCAGACGTCAATATCGAAAGTTGGTTGCATTACGCACCTGCTGCCGCTACTGCTACTGCTGATGGTGATGCTCCTCCTCTTAGACTGCACTTGACTGCGTATATCAATTCGCCAATAATTGCTTTGGCTGGTGCCTGGTGCCGTAGTTGTAGGTTTTCCGACTTCCACTTGACTTTGACTCTCCTGGGCGCGAGAAAGCACCGCTAATGAGCGAGGAAAGCGGACGTACTCGTATCAGACACTCAGAGCCCAGACCAGGTTGTGGTTGTTGTTGCTGCTGCTCGCACACACACACACACACACACACAAAACAATTTGTTCTTTTTTTTAACACGTTATTGAATCTCTTTCACCGAACCAACTGGTTTTTAGTGCTCGCTAAATACACACACATTAAACCAACCACTTTCCAGGGTTCTTCTTTTTTTTATTAGATTTCGCAACTCAAACCACGATTCGAGCTTAATGGAAAGACTCCAGATTTTGGCGATTCGTCACTACACAAGGTTTTGCTAATCACGCGTTATTTATTTAACCTTTCAGGTATTTTATTGCACTTTTTGCCTGCTCAACGACGGAGATAAACGAAACGAACCTGAGCGCCCGGAGAAATGGAGAAACTTGAGCGCGGTATCAGCTGATTAGCGATGGCAGCACGCTTGCATATTATACATCGATACATATATCGGCTATGTAGTAATCGAATTTTACAGGTATTTTTGGGAAAATATTTTAAATCAACAATCAGAAAGAAATCAGATTTAAAACAAATTTAATTTAATTGCGCAGAGCAATAAATGAAAAGATTCAGTTTTCTTTTAAAAATATACATATTATTTATTAGTAATATTATCAATTTCAACTGCTTGGCTTACGCTGATTTGAAGTATTATAGAGACTAAACATATCAATTAACACGGGAAACACTAGAAATAACGGAAAAGAAACATAAAAAATTGGAATCAAAGTGTCCACAGAATATAAGTGTTAAGAAATTGGTTCTGGGTTCATCGTGGGAGCAAAGGAGTAAAATGAAGGAAGCAGCTAATCGACTTCCTTTAGGTAACCACAGCTGCGTCATTGCCATGGCGAATCAGTGCGTGCTCGTCGGCCAGATCTTCATCCTCATTGTTCTCCAGCTGCTTTTGCCACTTGAGGCGCAGCTCGAATACCTCGCTGATGGCGTCGCGAAAGCAGATGAAGTTGTAATCAATGACTCCCTGACGATTGAAGTTCTCCTCGCGCAGTATGCAGACCAGGGCCAGGAACTTGTTCACCTCCCGCAGATAGAGTATCGTGTTGTTGTTCAGCTTGATGAGACTAGAGCTGCCACTGTCGAAGGCGGTCTCCTCCGAGCTGTAATGTAATGTGGTCATGGGCCTATATCATCGACAAGCAAGTGGATATTTATCGAAAGAGAACATACCTATATATGCTGGACAGATCGATCACCACATCGATCATGTCGCAGCACAGCTCATAGGTTTGCATATCCACAGGTGAAGAGTCCGTTGCAATATAGATTTTGGAAACCACATCAAAGAGAAAGGCTTTCTCGATGCCAGAGTTCTGCAAATGGTTGGTTTATAAGAACTGGGTTGGTTTCTCCCATAAACTACAGAAATGACTAACCGGTATGAAGATGTTGAGAAGGTTCTCCAGAGTCGGCAGCTGTGGAATCAGTTTCTGCACCACCTTGGAGAAGGCCTCGAAGATCGAGTGATCGTATATGGAGGTTAGATGGAAGCTCAGATGTATCTGATTGAGACCAGCCTCGCTTAGGTCGTCCGATGACCGCTGATGTATATCACGTTGCGATTCCATTTTTGAATCATCGCTTATGCCGTCAACCTGCGGGCAGTGGAGTGGGATTGGTAGGTAGTGGGAATTAAGCAGCTGCCTTGATAAGCAGCCGTATCTGAACTCACTTTGTGTATGAAGACCTCAAACTTGATTCGCTGGTTCACTTTGTAGGCCTTTATCACTGTGTTTTTGAACTTGGTCAGGGCCTCGTTGTAGTCGTCCTTGGCATCAATGACGAATACCAGGGCGCCACAGCCACCAAAGATCATGTCCGAGTCGAAGGTGGGCTCTATGAAATCGATTTGGCCAGGAAAGTCCCAAATTTGAAACTGCACAAAGCTGGAATTGTTGATATCGTCCTTGACGATTTTGCTCGTCGATTCGAGGAAGAGCGTCTCATTGGGCGACATCTTGTGGAAGACGACCTTTTGAATTGAACTCTTGCCCGATCTGCGCAGTCCCATAAGTAAAATACGTGGTTTCGTCTCGCTGCTGCCCGTCGAATTGGGCTCCATTTCCAGGCCATCCTGGTTGTAGGTGCCATATCCGAAATCCTTCGGGAATGTGTCCGCTGGGTAGTCGTCGTCGTCGTAACTCTGTTGGTATGCAAATCAGTTATGGCTCGGCTTGATTGGAATGGGGAACAGAAAAGTGATGGGCGGAGGCTGCTGCTGCTGCGCTCCAACACTGATATGGCTTCTTTGTTTACTTGCCATTGTGTTTGCTAAGCTCGTATCCCGCTGAGATCTTCAGTTACTTGGACGCCAACTGTATTGGAGACTGCCGCTTGTGTTTAATGGGTCTAGTTACTTCGACTAGTTTATTTTACCTAATTTTTCGTGCAAGTTTCTTATCGGAATTAAATGGTGTGTGCAGCGCATCAGCTGTTTGGGAAAACTATTGTATCGATGTATCGATAGCAATCAGCTGCTAGTATCGCCAAAATTGGATTATTTCTTTAACATTTTGTTTATAAATTTGTTTAATTAAACTTGCTCCAAGAGATGTCGAGGCGTGGACTATTGTTGATGGGCCAATGCATGCCCTGCATTAAGCAAAATGCCTCCAAGATACGCATACGCCGCATGGAACTGGACAAGAATCTGAATATGGTTTGTAGCCGCTCTCAGCAAACGAAATGTCGCATGGGATTCGCCTAACTGGCTTCCATTTTTCCCCTTCATTTAGTACTTTAAAAAGGACGACTTTTTCTTTGCCCACGATCCGCAAAAGGTGTGCAAAACCGGCGATGTGGTCCTGATACGTGAGCTTAACGAGCGCATGACCCGCCTCATCACGCATGCTGTTGAAAAAGTGGTCTATCCACTTGGTGACATAACCGATCCCATCACAGGCAAAAAAGTGGTGGTCGGCAAGTACCGCGAGGACATCGAGATGGCCAACGAGCTGTTTGGCAAGTCGGACAAGTCCTTCGACTATGCGAAGGCCCCACCACGTGGCCGGCTCGAGGGCACCAAAGACTTTACCCACGGCGAGACGTACATCAAATACCATGAGGATGGCAAAGATCAGCCCTTTGCCGTCTGATACATATAAGCTTAGGATTCGTTAAGTTTGCAATTAAATAGATGTCTGGATAGTGCCCAGCCTTCCCTCCCAATCAAAGAGCCTGGAATAAAAGATTTCTCTAAATATTTTATTTAAATTGTCGATAATGGATCCTTGCATGTCTTATTTGATTGCTGTCTTTACGTATAAATGTATTCATTTCCACTTCCATGGCCATGGCCATCCATCCATCTGATCAACAGTTTTATTTACGTTTTAAATCGTATTTTCCTAATTTTGGTGCCTTGGCGCACGAACAGGCATTCACATCATATTTTACTCGTAGCATATGCATTTCCGGAGATTCAGATTCAATCCGTGCCAATTAATTTAAATTGTAAACTAATCACAATCTCTTACGATTCTAAAGTTGTACTGGAGTATAGGGTTCGCCAGGTGAGCGTTATCATCGCATAGTTTTTGCTGAAACGATTGACTTGGATGATAATTTGGTCCTTGAATATCTGTCCTGCAACACTCACCTGCTCCAGATCGTGGCTAGCGCGCAGCATAAAGTCGCGCAAGAAGTACCCGTGCTCGGGCATATCGAGGGCCAGGATCAGCTTGTTGTTGCCCAGCTGCTTGATGACTTTCACACCGCTGCTGGCAGGAGCCTCATCGTCCTCGTTGAGTTGCGCATTCGCATTCGCATTGGCCTTGGCCTGATCCTCATCAATGCAGATGGACCACTGCAGCGGCTTGTTCGAGCTGTCAAGGAGAGTAAAACGCAACGCTGTACTTGGGCCCTTTGTCTGGCTCTGAGTCTGACTCTGAATCGCGACTCACTTGAAATGCAGCTCCAGATTGCTGGCCTGGAGATAGCGCGACACTGGGACTATGTAGCTAACGTTCAGGGAGCTTCCCGCACTGGGACAGAACTTCTCCACGTCGATGGTGAGGTTGTATTGGGCTGCCAGGACGCAGCTGAAAACGCTCCAGCAATCCAACTGAATGGGTGGAGGATTAACCTCGGGCCTCGGCAGCTGCTCCACCTGGCTGGATGCTGGCTGTGCATCTGTGTCCTCCGAGAAATGCTTGGCCTGGGCATCCGTTTTGTGGGAGCTCTTTCCGTGGACAAAAGTCGTTGTCTCGTTGCTGGCCGACAACGCTGGTTGTGGGGCCAGAAAATCGGAATCCTGCTCCTGCTCCTGCTCGGCGGACTGCAGATCATCCTCCACATGCTGCTCCTTCACATTGGCGTCCACGTTATCCGGCTGTGTCTTCGGCGACGGTAGCTCTTGGAAGCAAACGGACTGTGGAGGGGCAAATGGAGAGTGTAACCGCGTGACCGTGGGAAGGCTTCTTGCCTTCTTACCTGGCAATTATCGCTGACCGACTCCTCGCCAGTGCATTCCGCCGGCTGGCCAAAGAGCCCCGTCTTGAGGGTCTTGTGCACGATCCAGTCCAGACTGCGCTGATTGGCCGACCGCCTGCCCACGCTGGAGTCCCTGACGCCCGTTTCCGGAAACACGAACCCAAAGAGCGCTGAGATAGGATTGTCCACGGACTCGTTGGTATTGCTCAGATTCTGCAGGTCGAGGGCATCGGCATTCTCATGACCACCGCTGCTGTTGCGGACGGGAGGCGACGCCGGAGGCGGCACGTCCAGGACCTGGGAGAGTGTGCTCTGAGAGGGTTCGGTGCTGACCTTGTTGGTGGTCAGCGCCAGGTTCGCCGTGGGCGGAGACACCGTCTTGTATACGTTGTAGATGACCGCATCCCCAGTGTTCAGCTTGCGAATGGCCTGGCCGACGGATGGCACCCCAACATCGCCGACAGCGTGGGCTACTCCCTCTGCTCCCTCCGAAGTTGGACTGGCTATGGTGCCCACCACCACAATGTGCTCGTCCAGCTTCAGAGCAGACAATGGCTGCTTGCCCCCCACCAGCTGCTGCTGCTGAGCATCAATGTCTATGGAGTTGTTCTCAAAGTCTTGGGGCAGGGAAATGGACTGCGACTGCGACTGGGACTGGCTCTGACTCTGCGTCTGTGGGGGCTTTTCGGATGAGGAGGTGGAGGCGGAGGCGCTCGTTTCATTGCCGCTGGCTGGAGGCGTGGCCCCTGCCCGTGCCCCGTGCACAGCCTGGAGAGCCTTCTGACTGGCCGCCTGCCTCAGAACCTCTTGGGACAGCGGCCACTTGGTCTTCTTGCTGCTGATGGTCTTGTTGCTGAACCTCGGCGCTGATGTCGTGATGCGACTGTGCTTCCCCTGCTGCTGTGGCTGCTGTTGTTGCTGTTGCTGGAGATTCACCTGCGGCTTGGTCATCACGGCGGCCAGCTCCTCGGCCTCATCCTCGCCGGGCCGTGGGCCCGTGGCGGAGGCGGAGGCGGGCGGTCGGGATGTGCTCGTGGCGTACATCAGACTGGGCCAGGCCACGTGCGTCTTGTTCTTGAAGAGTGTGTGCAGGCTGTGCTGGAAGTAGTGGCGGTCGTCCTCGCTCAGGTGCGTGGGCGTGTCCGTGCGGAAGATGTGACTGTTGCCAAAGATCTGGTAGCCGTCCAGCTGCTGCTGCTTGTTGTGCTCCACAAAGTACAGCGTGGACACGGCCGCAAGGCTGCCATCAGATAGGGAAAAATCGGGATTAGCTAGGGCTTAAGCTGTGTCTGGAGGCGTCCCCTTGGTACTTACCAGGCTGCCATCACAATGATCAGCACGAAGATGACAATCTGCAGGGAGCGGCTGGAGCAGATCTCGTAGCCGTCCCGCCGACTGATGTAGGACCTGAGGGCCCCTCTATCTGGGGGGAGCAGGCAACGTGGCTCCAGCAGATCCTTGGCACGCAGTTGGTGGCTATTGTGGCTGTTGTTGGCCCGCTCCAGATGCTCGATGCGCGTCTCCAGGGACCCAGTGACCTTGCACAGCTCCTTGACGGCCCCAATGTTCTCCATGAGAATGCGGTCCTGTCAGGGGAATCGTGGGTAAAGGAATGGAGTCGGCTATATATGGAATCGGTAGTATAGTCCTCACCTTGTTGACCAGCAGAAAATTCTCGATGACATCGCCATTGGGCAGGACAACGCTGCCAGCCTCTTGGACCGCATCTGGTATCACCTCGCGCAACTCCTGGGCAATGACGCCAGTGTCGACGATCTCCCGCGTGTCGCTCTTCCGCCGCAGGCCCGAGTGGAGGGCGTACTCGGGCTCGTAGCGATAGCGGACGATGCGGATCTTCTGGAGGTTGCGCAGCTGCACCGAGGTGTCCAGCTCGCCGATCTCCTGCTTGGCGCGGCTGTCGCTGGGCTGGACAATGTGGCCGGAGACCTTCAGGTTGCCATGCACCACGAGACTCTCGTCCGGGCGGTCCGTGTTGATGCCCACGCGGCCCGCATGGAAGATCGACTCCTGGGTGAGGCCGCGCTGCCAGCACAGATCCACGTCGGACTCGAATTGGCCGGGATTGGAGGCGCGCACGATGATCCGCTCGCTGCCATGGCTCATCACCGGAAAGTTGCCCGATATGGTGTGCACATGGAGGCCCACCACCAGCTGGAAGAATCGCTGCTCCGGATTGGGGCGCCCCTTCTTGCGCATATTGTTGTTGGTCGTCTCGGAGAAGTGCAGCCGGCCAACGGTGATCTTGCTGACGATATGCTTCTGGAGATCGATCCTGCGCAAGGGGATTACATATATATTACTCTATGGCGGCGGCGGGAGCTATATTCGTGGCGGATACTCACGGAACTGGATAGAATGGCTTCTTGGAGCGATCCGACTGGCTCTGCTCCACGCGTATGGTCTGGTTGGGCGCCTCGAACTTGACGCCGTAGAAATGCAAGTGAAAGGATTTGATTTTCTCAAAGCCGGACGGGGTCTTCACAAATTTGGCATCGCCCTGGAGTCGGGCATGGCAAGTAACCTGAAAGTGGTTCTTCTTCTGGCACACGTACGCGTCGTCCGAGACGCTGAAGTTGAATCCCTTGTCCGCATCGACGCGGTAGTAGATCACGGACAGCTCCTGCAGGCTCTGGTCGAACAGCTTGTGCCAGTTCTCCGGCTGGAAGGCATTGAAGCGGATGCACTGCGTCTGGGCGGGATCCCCGGCCTCGCTGCCCGACCCCGAACCGGACCCCCCGGCCGTCTGTCCGTCCAGGCTGTTGTCCGCCTGCGAGTGGATGCCGGACAGGGCCGGCGACACCGAGGCGGAGCAGTGTGAGTGGGCAGGTGTCTTGGCCAGGTCGCTGCCTGCCTCATGGCTGTTACTGTTGCTGTTGCTGTGGCTATGGCTCAGGGAGTGATGGGAGGCGCGCAGGGGACTCATCACCAGACCTGCATCCACCTTGGCCGTGGGCGCAAACTCCGGGCAATCCAGCGTAGTGGACATCTTCCGCTTGCGGGACAGCGAGTGCACGGGTGTGGAGGGTGCCGAGGTGCGGTTCAGCGACAGCTGGCTGGTCCCAATCACCTGCACCCGGTCGCCGAGTCCCAGCGAGGAGGTCAACGTGCAGGTGGAGAGATTCTGGTAGCTGCCAGCACCATAAATGCCATGGCCTGGACCCGGCTCTGGCCCATTCTCGTAGTGCTGGTAGATCATTTGCTGCTGGCCCATTTCCGGATGTTGCTGCAACTGCACCTGCTGCTGCTGCTGCTGCTGCTGCAACTGGTGGTGCAGCATCTGTTGCTGCTCGTTGATGGGCTGCTGGCACAGCAGGCTATTGGGATTCATGATCAGCCCTGCCTCGTGCTTGACCCTCACATCCGCCTGTGGCGTCGCAAAGTTATGCCCAGCGATGCCTAGCTGCTGTTGTTGCTGTTGCTGTTGCTGCTGCTGCTGCTGATGCGACACGTACTGCATGTCTGTCTGCAGCATGCTGCCCGGCTGCGAGTGCACCATTGGCCCCAGATTCGAATAGATGAGATGGTCCCCGCGTCCCGGCAGCATACCCAGGCCATGCGTCTCATTCAGCGGACTGTAGGCCGGCTCGGAGCCCGAGTCGGGTGGACTCTCCGGCAGATGGCCATGGACATGGGGCGTGCTGCTCAGGCTCATGGGCGGGGGTGTGTGTGGCGAGTCCATTTTGGTGGCGGCAGCTGCTCCGAGCACGTCATTGCCTCCGGGCTGGGCGCTGCTGTCCTCGAGGCCTCCCACTCCGGCAG